AAATCATAATTAGCTTAGAAAGTAAAATTTTAATTTTTTTAGAGTTTCCTCCCTTTCTATTGCAAAGCTCCCATATGATAATACTAATTACGCTTTATACCTCCTTAACTTTTCCCAGCAAGATATAAAGCATGTAGGAATATGTGGAAGTTCTCAACTACTAACTTTCTGCAAAAAAACTTTCCTAAAGAAATAACGAAAATAAGGTATGTATATGCCAGAAGTTATGAATGTATGAGAGCAAATGGTTTTCTCACTATGTGTCTTATATTTAGGAAAACAAGATGGATACTAATTACTTAGAAGTTACATTAAAAATAGTAACAATAAATTTGTAGTCAGTATTTTTTAGACTTGCGGTGTTGATGGATTCAAAAACTACATCGCAGGAGAAATTAATACTACTCACTTTGATCTCTATAAAAATAACGTACATCAAAAAAATCTAATGTATAGGAAGGACACACTTTTTAATTATTTTGATACTATTGATGATAGTAATCTAACAGTCATTGTATATCCTACCACTCCAAAACTCCCTCTAGCAAATAGTTAGAAATTTTTATTCACATCATATAAAGCGATATGGTCGTAATTTTTATGTATTAGTTGCTCTATCAACATTTTTTTTATTTCTTAAATAAAGCATATATTACGTTTTGCAAATTGATCCACAATGAACTTCTAACCCATGATGTGTTACAGTAAAATTTCCCAACTATCAAAGCTATTTTGAGTTCCTGTGATTCTAATTCTTCAAACTTTGGTTTATTTTGAAGGATGAGCTAGCTCTGTCTTGCATCTGATCGAATTGGTTTGGGGAACTTACAATATCTGGATCCCGTTTCGTAGGTGGTTGAAGCCTTGCTTCTGTGAAAAATAACTTAACCATTTTAGTGAAAAAAATAATGTTAACCTTTTTACCCTCTCGATTGCCCGGGTCGATCTGTGAGAGATAGCTCTTTTTTTGGCAAATTTCATATAGATCTTTTTTTGAATGAATATGACCAGAGGTGGATATTAGAGTTACCATATTTGTTTCATGTTTTGTGGCGATCGCCATACTAATGAAGGTCAATTTCGAAATGTTGTTTTATTCAGGATCAGCAAATTAAATGACTATTAGTTTCTCAGCGATCAGGAGACTTGTGTAAGTCCCTAATAAATAAAAACAATACATATTCAGTAAAAACATGTAACAAAATATTGCTATGTCTAATATTTCATATCTTGAAACTCTTGCGTTAAATATCCTAAATAATATATCACCAGAAAAGGTTGCAGAAAGCGTTGTTATTTCAGAACAAGAGCCCTGCTCAAAATGCAATGAAGAGCTTTTTTATATGAAATAAAAGACCCCTCACTATACTTAGCAATGAACATACATACCATCGTGACTGTATTGAAAGGTCTATAAAAATAAGTCTATCATGTCTAAGACCCGATTGTAAGAAGAAGGTAAAATTAGCAGTTCTCAAGTCACCCGAAAATCTGAATGACAATGATTTAATAGATATATCTCCATCACTATTTAATGACTCACTATTACTTCGAAATGACTCCCAGAAAAAGCATTCTAATGATCCTTTATTTTTAGAAGTGTCACCTAATAAAAAAGCTAAGAAACTGGATAATAGGAACGACTCCCCTAAATTGAAAAAAATGATCAAGGAATTATCCTCTGAAATGCCTCAGGATCAAGAAGTTATAAAAGGTAGTACTGGGAATTTCTTCATTTTATTTGATACTATCATTAAGATGGAAGAACGAACAGAGAATGTGAATCAAGATGTTCTTAAATCATATTTTAATTTTAGAAAAGCACTTGATGATTGCTTTAATCGTTACAAGAAAGATAATCCTAATCGAACTGCTCAGGTATTGGTTAATAATAAAGTTCGTAAACAACTCCCTGATACTGTAAGTGATAACGCACTTAAGAAGAAAAAAGAAAGGACTCTGAAAATTTTTGAGCTATTCAATGCAATTGGTAAAGATAAGATTCAGAGAATTAAATCCTTTACAGCATCGGCAATATCAAAATTAGACCAAGACGAAATTGACAAAATATTGATTAGGTTTGCATTTGTAAGAAGATAGATTAAGTTTACTGTACCATACACATGACATTGTGATCTCAGATCACATTCTATAGCGATTTTTTCATAATAGCTACTATTTTTTATGATTAATATATGTCAAACTCTCATATATCTGAACATTCAAGCACTTAGCTTTTTTTTGGCCTGGCCAGCCAATTTACAATAAAAGTACTTTTCATTTTTAAATGGTTTTGCCTAGTACTTTTTAACCAATTAATCTGCTGTAACATTGATAAAATAAAGTTTTGCAGTCCTAAAGGACCTACCCATATCGGTTTTTCTCCTTTTTAACTTGATAGACTTTGAATTTATTTTTTATTATATGATTACATTTTGTTTTATATTATTCTATTACGCCCATAATGTACACACTTGCAGTTATGAAAAATAATAGCTAGTCTAAGAATAATAATTATTAACGGTTATTCTCACACTTATAATACATATAATGAAAATAGAATTCTACTCATCTGAACTAATTCTCTTGAAATCACAACTACTAGCGATTATTGATGGTGATATTAATAACGTTCGCACTTTGGGAAAAAGAGGGGAGTGTAGGAGTAGTAGGCCTAAAAGATGTAGGTGCTTCTACTGATGGTGTTACCAGTCTTGACGTTTGAGAGGAGGTCTTGAATAAATTCACAATATCTGTTGTTCACTCAAATCTAATATTTGATGAGCAAGACGTTGAACTCTTCTTACTTGATCTTTGAATACTTCCACTATATAGGGCCTTTGCAATAGAAAGGGGGGAAACAGCCGAAAAAATCAAAAGTGAGTTAATGCTAAATTTGAACATATTTTAGCATAAAAATCATATTTGGCATATAAAGTAAAATTAATTTTTCCCAGCAGTTTCCCCCTTTCTATTGCAAAGGCTCCATATATTCATCCAAATGATAGTTCTGGCAAATAAAATAGATATGTTATTATCAATGAAAACCTCCTGAAAACAAAAATCTCTGAAAGTATACCAGGCTTTAACCAGAACTTTGATGAGAACTCCTCATAGATCTCTTTCCCAACTAGGCTCCTTTTAGCACTAGTACCTTTTTTACACCTTTCTGCTGTCTAATAAAATAATAATAAGTATATTTTGCTATCCAGATTCCTTATAGAACCCAAGCAATCACTACTTATGTAAAAGCTTTTGTGAGACTTAAGAATTTTTTATGACAATCATCACCTATGAAATAGTTTGTGTTTTCCTGCTTATTAATCCTATTAGCAATTTCCTTCCAAAAAAGTCATTTCTTTTTGTTTGGAGTGGCATGATACTCAGCATTTTTTTCTTTTCATTCATCAATAAGAATGTGAAGTTGAGCGTTATAGAAGACATGTTTTTACATGGTGAAAAATTTCTTAAGGGAATAGAAGCCTGTTTTATGGAGAAATATCGAGTGATGTGTTAGACTGATTAATGAAATGATTAATCGGTGGCTTAGACCTTTTTTTCTGATTGGCCGATCATCCGTGATTTGAGAAACTACTCAGCAACATGATAGTGCTAAGGAAGTGTCGTAAAACTGTCATGGAACTGGTAGGGAGCTAGAGTGGATTTCTGTAATACGATATATGTCATAGATTTGAGAATAATTAGCTATTATATTATCTCAAAACTAATTTAATGTAATTATAATATATTGGGAAAAACCCAAAGATCCACAAACTGATTTACATGCATATGAATATGCACATAGCCAAATTTGAACCTTATATAAACCCTCGATATGCTTGTAATTGAATAAAAAATGAATCTGATATTTTATTATAATATATTTACTACAAATTGCTATAATGATAAATTCATTGAAATCACTGCAAATCGATAATTGCTATAAACTATTAAATATGTCAGGAACTCATATTAACAAAACAAGGTCTAATAAGTGTATTGACATTATTTTAGATAAGGATTATAATAAAATTGTGCCTAAGCCGATTAATAATTGTCCTGGATTTGATATAAATTATCTTAGAGCATATGTTATAAATTATAATTCTTATTATGCTAATCAATTCGAAAAGATTCTTGAGGTAGAAAAATGATATGATGATTTATCTGTTATTAGATCTCATGAAACTCCTCAGCAGTGGGGGCTATTCGTGTATGAGTTACTTTGCAAGCATTGATTACTGAAGATCATGAAAGCTATTATCATGTATTCTGCCTTTTCGGATCATCTGGATAAGGATTAATCAAGACAACTATGCTAACTACGAAGGGAAAGAAGTTGTTATTGGTTATCACAGACCTAATATTCACAATTGCAAGATGGCTATTTGCTTCGATTGTTGGAAATTAGTAAAGATCACTGATGTAAAACCAAAAAGACATATTTCAGTGGATGGCGGAGAGATGGGTATGAGATTAAGCCTGAAAACTTGATGAAACATCATTAGGATAACTCATATTTCAAGACTAATAAATAAATGAAAGCTCATCTTCTCGCAAGCTTGAAGTCAGAATATTACGTGAAAAATCTTCTGACTGGAGGGGGTATTATATCCTAAAAAAACACCTGATTCTTTCTTGCAGTTTGATAGAACAAGTAGAAGTGAAATATTTATCTCATCTATATACACAAAACAAAATAACTAAAACCATCTTAATCAGCTAAAAGGTACCACGTTAAGATTGAAAGATGGGACAAAAGTCACAATTGTTTATCTGGTTTAACTAATATAATTTATTTTTTTGTGCTACATAATCTGTATGGATGATCGTCTGTGAAAATTTGGCCAAAAATGCTATGCATAATCTGCCTATTCTGGGTTATATCCTCTAATATGTAACTATTTTAATAAAGTATTTTTCAGGAAGATCAATGGAGCATTCTTAGGGATTCTTGATTCCTAAATACTACTATAATTATAGCTTTGAAAATTTCTATGCAACAGTTATTCAGCGAGCTTACA